TGTATGAATTCGTGCAAGTTCGTGTGTTGTTGCAAACCACCTGCCAGCCTTTATATAGGAGGATTTGTTGTGTGTAAATGGTGAATTAATGGACCTGAACGTTGGACATCAATGACCAGTCCGTTGGGCATTGAATCGTCCATGAACTGTCCATTTAACGCTGCATTAAAAGATATAAACATTGGGCATTTATTGCTGTAACGGGTTCATAAGTGCCACCAGAACTCTACGAGGTGTTCTGGTCGAAGCCACCAGAATACCTATGTGAGGTATTCTGATTGAGGCCATCAGAGACCGACGTGTTCTGGTGGAAGCCACCAGAGACCGAGGTGTTCTGGTGCCACCAGAGACCGAGGTCTTCTGCCGCTAGGCACTTCTGTCAACTGGGAAAAATAAACGTTTCGGGAAGAAAACAAAAATTATCCGTATCTCTTGAGAGATGGATTTTTGGACGACATTCGTGTCCGCAGGTCGCCCGCGCACGCAAGTCGCGGTTTTTCTTCTCTGAATTCGGGATTTGATTTGCACCCCCCCTGCGCGCGTGGAGAGAGCCTTTACCCTTAGGAATCTTAACTCCTTAAGGGGGGGGGGGGGGTCCCTTTATAAAGGGTTGCAAATCCCTAGGGTTTTCCGGTGTGGGAAATTAACACACTAGAAACCCATCCTTTTTCCCTTCTAACGGGTAAACTTCGAAAAGCGATTTCTCATTCACCCGTTATCCGTTTTGAGCGTACCATATATCGAATTGTAGCCCTTAACAAGGACAATCCGAAACCACTTAGACCCGACCCAAATCGGAAGTGGACCCCACTCAAAAATTGCTCCAAAATAGCCATTTAATGCAATTTTTCACACATTTTTCCAACAATATATTCATTGTTTTACTCACCAATTGCAATTAGTTGTCGTGGCTGTTTCTCAAAAAAATAATTTTGTGAGTGATTTCTTTGAATATTTGTCCATGATTACTAACATGATTGGATCCTCTTGTAATTGCCATGTTAAAAAAGGTGAAATTATGACTGTGAGAGGATTGAATCAAGAAAGTACTTTAGCACGGTCGGGAGCTACTCGATGGGGTTCACATTTTACAACCATTATTCGTATTCTATCTTTGTGGTCTCCAACAATCCAAGTGCTTGACAATATATTTGATGATGGAATTGATTCGAAATCAAGGGGCAAAGCTAGTAGTTTGGTTGAAAAAATGGAGAGTTATCAATTTGTTTTTATTGCCCACTTGACGAAGAAGGTATTGTGATTGACGAATATGTTGTCACATTTCTTGCAACAAAAAGATCAGAATATTTTTGAGGCTATGAGCTTGATTAAAAGCACCAAATAGAAGTTCCAAGATTTGAGAGAAAGTGGATGGGAAGAGCTATTAGAAGATGTCAATAACTTTTGTGTGAAGAATAAAATTGACATTCTAAACATGGAAAATACAACACATCGTTCTAGACGCGTTCGCCACCCGGTAACAAATTATCATCACTTTTGAGCTGATATTTTTTATCAGGTACTACCTTCATCCCTTAAAACTTTGCCAAATTTGACCGGCACGCAGAATAATAAGGTAAAAACTGTGTAGTTGAACCTTGTGCAGAGGAGAGATAAATAACAGAAACCACAAAATAATTGATAAAAAGAGAAAGTGACAAAGTTTTTTGGGACGTCCCAAAAAGGAAAGATGACAAAATTTTAAGGGACGGAGGGAGTAATTTTTTTTATTAAAATTTAAATTATTTATTAGTTGTTGTTATTATTATCATTACTATTACTACTACTTTTTATGATTACCTTATTGTAGGTTATAGACCAGATCAATCTGGAAATGGAGAATTGCTTTAGTGAGTCAAATACTGATTTACTCGCTTGTTTAGCTTGCCTTAATCCTAAAGATAAATTTTTCAATTTCTGTGAGTCAAAGCTACTCAGTCTTGCGGAGTTATATTCATGTGATTTTTCAGTTGTTGAGCAAATGGAGCTTAAAGAACAACTCCAAGTTTGGGTATATGAGATGAGATGAAATGAAGCATTTTCCACCCTACAAAGTATTGGTGAAGTGTCTAAGAAGATGGTTGAGCTTACAATTCACAAATCTTTTCACTTGGTCTATCGTCTTATGAGTTGGCTCTAGTGTTACCAGTTGCAACACCCACAGTTGAAAGAGCTTTCTCAGCGATGAATATTATCAAGACAGATCTTCGCAATAAGATGAGAGATGACTATCTTACAGATTGCTTAGTATGCTACATCAAAAGAGACATTTTTCAAGCAATTGATAATGAAGCTATTATGCAACATTTTCAAAATATGAAAACTCGTAGGATTGATTTGCCTAGGTTGCAGAAGTGAATCAAGTAGTATGTAATGAACTACTCCCTCCGTCCCATTTTGGTTGTCCTACTTTCCCTTTTGGGTTGTCCCAAAATGAATGTCTTGTTTTCCTTTTTATCAAGAAATATGCGGTTCTTATCGTTTCACTTTATTCTACTCAAATCTCAACCACAACTTTACTTTTAAATCACTTTATAAAATGAAATGTAAATTGTGTGTTACAAAATGTAACTTTAACTAAACCGAGATGTAATTCCAATGTATGTGAAATGGGGAAGCGTATACCATACAGCCGGCTGTACGGCTGGCACCGTACAGCCGGTGGCAGTTTTGTAATTTTGATGAAGTTCATGGTTTCTCTTAAATGAGCATCTATGTAATTTTCATGAGCATCGAGTCTGTTCTTCTGAGTATTAGGAGCCTAACAATGAGCACCAGTGATCTCTGCTTCATATCTTCTAATTCGGTTTCTTTTTAATATTTTTTTCGTTTATAAAAAATTCTTAAATTATGTTTATAATTAATTTCAATATGTGAATCTAATGTAGTATGATATGTTTGATATATGCATCATTTTAAAATGAGCATAAAACAGTACCAAATGAGCATACATAATTTACAAAATGAGCATCAAAAAATTCAAAACTTCATATGTGTATGCTAATTGATTTTGGGCGTTATATTTGATATGTGCATCATTTTAAAATGAGCATAAAACAGTAGCAAATGAGCATACATAGTTTACAAAATGAGTATAAAAAAATTCAAAAGCTCATTTGTGTATGTCTATGACTTTGGGTGTTATACTCATCTGAGTTTAATATAAAACTCATTTTTAATGTGCTTAATATTCAGTTGTGTATGTTCACTTCTTTTATGTATATATACTCATTTGAGTTTAACATAATGTAGTATGAATGTATGATACGATTGAAATGTGCAACATTTTAAAATGAGCATAATGAGGTACCAAATGGGCATACATTACTTACAAAGTGAGTATCAAAAAATTCAAAAGCTCATTTGTGTATGCTCATTCATTTTCGGTTTTATACTCATTTGAGTTTAACATAAAACTCATTTTTAATATGCTCATTCATTTTCGGTTTTATACTCATTTGAGTTTAACATAAAACTCATTTTTAATATGTTCAATATTCATTTGTGTATGTTCATTCCTTTTAAGCTTATACTCATTTGAGTTTAATATAAACTCATTCCAAATTCGTCAGCAAGCATGAAGTCAGTCTCCTAAATTCGTCAGCAACCTGTCGTCCCCGTCTTCTTCTTCTCGCGGCACCGGCCAACGAAGAAATCCACAAAAGCTGCGGTATCTTGAGGAGAAAAGAGCGGTGAAAGGAGCAGTCTGTGCGCGAGATCAGATTGAAGAAATCAAGCGAGATTGAAGAAACAGGGGCAATTTTCTGTGCGAGAATCGCAGAAGCAGGGGCGAATATCGAAGAAGCCATTGCTCGATGCTAGGGTGAGAAGCGCATGAGGGTAAAAGGGCCGGATGTACAGTGTTATTTACCATGTGAAATGTAAGTCTATACTACCAGCAAAGCAGACAAATGACAGAGTAATTAATAAACAAACGTTTGCTATCTGTGGTTAAATTTGCTCCAATAAGAACACCCAAAGCCCATGAATTGGATTAATTTGCTCCAAATTACTATATACCTAAAGGAACAGAAGATCTTGGCGAAATAAAAGAATTGGATGATGTCTCATATTTCTATACTAAACTCGATTCTAAGGATCATTTTATCTAAATCGGCCTCCAGGAGCCCTAAAGTCTTGTTGAAATGCACTAAATTGGCCTCCTTTACTTTTTTAAGAAATTGGAGCGGAACCTAGGGTTCCCTTAATCCACAAGGAGTTGGATAAGAAATAGCTGGAAATCAAGCTATAGGATGAAAGAAACGCAGAGGGCATGTAATTGGGGAAGGAGAAGCGTAGTAGAAGCGTGTCTGCTAGGTACGTGGATGAAGGGGAAATAGATGGGGGTGATGCTTTGCGCGCTGTTTTACTTGTAAAAGGACACCGTATTGGGATCGGTACACCGTGCCCACGGTATGCCGATCCCACAGTATAATTTGCCGCCTTCTGCTACTATACAAAAAAAAAATCATAATACCCTTATTTTAAAAACACAATGAATCTAACCATCTTGACCTACTATAGCATGTCATTTTTGAATTTTTTTTAGGGAAAATTGATAAATTATATAAAAATTAATAAAATATAAAAATATAGAAATATTAATATAAAGAAGCCAAAATATCAAAAGTAGGAAAATAATTTAAAGACAAGTAATGGTAACATATGAATTCATGGATCCAAAATATAGTAATGATTTTAAAAGGATGTAGAAAATACAAGTAATTCCAAAAAGGTGAGATTCTTTAAATTTTACATAGTACTATTATGATTTTTATGATTTTGTTTCAAATTTAAAAAAAAAAATCTTAGATTTATTAAGTTGTTACTACATTTTTTTCTAAATTGGCTAGTAGTTTAGTAATTAGTATAAAGAAACCATTGATTTTTTCCAATATAATCTTTTTTTAATGAAATCAATTCTTTCAGTGAAATCTAATTGGGAAAAGGGACATATCCTATCCTATATACCTAAAGGGAGAATCCTCTCCCTTAGAAGTTCCCGCCTCTCTCACTTAACCTATTAAATCGTCCTTCTCTCCTAGAAATATAATCGCTAATTCCTCGCACGTTTCACGGTCACCGGAAGCAATCCAATCCCTAATTCCTCGCTTATTTACTCCTTTCACACTAGAAGTAAACTGAACTGAGCGTGAATCTCCATTCCCCCCCTGATAATCAGCATCAAAATCTTCGATGTGCTTCTGCAAAGAAGCGAAACGGCTGCAAATCCGCACTTGGGAAGGTAATCAACGATACTTCTATTTAAACGCACATTCCTGGCTCTTTTTTCACACACCACACAATCGATACTTCTTCCATCGTATTCATACTAAAAGAATGGCTCCTTTAAAATTGAATTTGTCGTCCGTCAAACTTGATATGGAGAAGAAAGCTGCTTTTTTCTGTAGGGTTGCACGAAAATGGTCTCTGCCATTCCAGAACAGGGACTTGGGCATCAGATCGATTGAATTTGTTCTAATAGACGAGGAGGTAATGCTTATTCACATATAATATGGCCTCTAAATGTTTCTCTAATCGTAATTTTAAGGGGAGTTTAAGGCATCCCCTTCTAAAAGAATGTTTATAGGTTCGTTAATGTGAAACAACGAATGAGTAGTTGAAACTAATTATTATAAACACCATTTCCTGATTTATGCCCTTTGCGCTATTCTTCTCCCAACACATGAGTACTTGATCAACAAACCAACATAATCATGTTTACAACACAATGGGATGAATGAAATATAAGATTGGAGGTGCTGTTATTTTTAATCAAACTCCTAATGCTGAGGCTGAATGATACTCCGTAGGAAGTTAGAGTGAATATCAGCTTAATTGGCATATGGACAGATTATTATAGCCCTAAAGTCAAATCAATATACACTTTAGTGGCTGATTTGTTTTGCAGTTATTTTTTTAAAAAATATTGTTTCATATTGCTAAACCAATCATTTATAGGTTTAATGAGTATATGAACAGGTTATTATAGCTATACAGTGAGATCAGTAAATATACTTCCGTGGCTAATTTGTTTTTAAGTAATTTTTAAAAGAAATATTGTCTGCTTATTTCTAAACCAAACATTTATAAGTTTAATGAGCATATGGACATATTATTATAGCTATAAAGTGAAATCAATATACACTAAAGTCGCTCATTTGTTCATGAGATGTTTTTAAAAAAATATTGTTTGCTTATTGCTACACCAAATATTCATAGGGTACAAGAATTCAAGCTACTGTGCCACAAGAGTACATTCCACTGTTTGAAGACCATATCGAAGAGGGGAGACTTTATGCCTTTATGCACTTCACTCTAAGAGAGAATGTGGGCAAGTGGAGACCAACACAACATCCATATCGGTTTTATTTTAATCAAAGGACTAAGTTTATGCCCCAGCCAAATGGTACACACCCATTGTTTCCTCTCACTACTTATAAATTCACCAGCTTTGAGGATGTTATGAATTCTCCAGATATTGACGGTGCTGATCTAATCGGTAAGTATACATCTTTTGTATGTCTGAAATGCATCATTCATTCAACTTTAATACTTTGAAGTCACATTTATAATTCATTGTGTGAAGACATAATTGGGGTATACAATCCATCCGAGCCCGTGAAGAAGCCCCCTGCATCCGAAGGCCCTTCAACCTGGTGCAGCTTTCAACTTCGTGATTTACAGTTAAGCAAATACAACCACAAATTCCAATATATTCAGTGTATAACCACTTTTAATATTGAAATACTAAATCTGGAATGTTGTTGTGTTAGGAATAAGGTTCTTAATTGCACTCTCTGGAATGAGTATGTTGACCAACTTGATACATATCTATTGGCCCCAAGACAGAATCCCATAGTTGTCTTACTGCAGCTTTGTCGTATAAATAAACGATGAGGTATGTTGCTTCTCCTTTGCACTTTTATATAATGTCAAAGGACATGCTTCATTTGTATACTGAGTACATTTCGTTGCTTCTTTACTTTTTAGATGGCACTAAGGGAGTAGCCACCTCTTTTTAAGTTTCAAAGTTAATATTGGATGAACATATCCCTGAGATTGAGGATTTCCGAAGCAGGTAAATAGTTTCTTGAAATGCTAAATATCATGTCTACTCAATTTTTTTGGGGAGCTAACATACTTAAATCATTGTAGTTTTCTAAGCACCAGAGGCTCTTTCCCATCGCCTTTAACGCAATCATCATCATCCTCTGTTCTCTCTGCCGATGTTGCTTCTGAAATTGGTCTTACCATACCACTCTCTGAGTTGTCATCGGCTAAAGAGGTAATTTATTACCAATTTAGTACTAATTTATGGAGACATTCTTTTCCAGGTCCTATTGTTATTATCTATTCTGCTTTCTATAGTGAGTATTTTTTTTTGGTTTTATGCAAGGTTCATGGTTGTTGGGTATATGGCCAAATAAGTTCCATTATTTCTTGGAAAACATGGGCTTATTTGGGGTGTGATGAACCTAGATGTTTCAAGAAAGTCGTCAAAGACAATGGTAAACTTCGTTGTGTAAACTGTCACAAACAAATCTGTAAAGGTATTTGGCGATATAGCTTAAGGTTGAGAGTCAACCATAATTGTGACAACGTTGAATTCATGTTCTGGGATTTGGAGGCACAACGACTCTTAGGAAAGGCAGCACAGCAATTCAACATCCACCTAGATGCGGTATGCTTCTTCATGCATGTTACTTTAGTCCATATTCTTTCCACCTATCTTCACACATCACACTCTCATCCCAGCACATTCAGGACACACATTTTGTCCAAAGCAAACATATTGATTTCCCTTTTAGGCTATTCAGAAAGATATTACATAGACGGTATTGCGTTTCCATAATGTTTTAATTACAAATGCTTAAACATACATTCAGATACTTTGCTGCAACCCCAGGTCTCCATATGAATATATTTTCACTCTTCACCTAAAAATCAAAAGATTATGAAAAACGCACCTTTTGTTTGTGCAGTCTAAGATCTTTACTTTTTTCCTTGACTTTGGCCTTTAAAGTCTTATGGACTTTAGACCTTAATAGTATCACAAGCATATCACCAACACTAGCAAAAAAATCTAAATGGATTCTGTGTGGCATTCTCAGGCAGGTTTACTGTGCAAAAAATCTAAATGGATTATTTGGTTGTACTTTATTTAGGAAAAGCTAGCACCAAAGAGCCTTCCTGAAGAGATAAAAGAACTGGTTGGAAAGGAATTAATATTCAAAATAGACAAGGTACATGAAAATCGCACAAGTGGCGGTGTGTATTACTCTATTGGCATGATCTCAGAGGATAGAGAGAAAATAGAGCATGTGAAAGCTGCAGTTGTATTGCAATCCGAGGTATTCCCATAACTTCAAGCAGAGTGATTGTATTCACTATTTTTTATGCATTATGTGTCAGTAATGCATTTCTAACTACCGACTAATGCAACAATATACAGGCCTATAATTCTGATGATGATCTAGAGCTGCTTTCCTACTCCACAATAGGGGTGGAGTCAAGCATGGCATGTCCTGGTGTTTTAGAGATCGTATACAATTCCTACATATGTAATGATTTGTAAATGTACATGGACTAAATTTGAACCACTTTTAATTTTCAGACTCCAAGCTCCGTTGATAATGAAAATGTCCCAACTCCACACTCATCAATTTCAAAACGAGTTTCAGAAGGTGATCCTCTAGGATCTGAAACAGGATCCAGCCTAGGCTCAAGTGTCAAAAAACAGAAGTTCATCAAGCTAGAGATGGAATGAAGTTCAACCTTCCTGATTTTATAATGACGTCTTTAAAGCATTCTGCACTCTTAAAAAATTAGGATTAAGTAGCATATATAGTTGGTCCATGACCATCTCTTCATGATGTTTTTTTAAGTATCTCTTCATGATGTTTTTCATGAACGTGCTCTTTTAATATTAGTCCTAATAAATTTGGATTTCTAGCATATATACTTGATCCTTTGAATGATTCTATACTTTTCTTTGGAAATAGGTCCTATTGTTAAAATTATTAAACGGTAATGCCTATTCACATAACGATTTGCCACTACCTCATTACATGAAACCCAGGAGTTCACCACATAGTGGTAAAGCGAGAGTATGGGAAACAATGTGTACACTTTTTATGACCCATTGATTTTATCGCAATCCCAATCAAATTTATTTTAAACTTTAATTACATGTCCAATCCTTAATCATAAATTCGAACATAACCTTTAAACAAATTTTTAAAAAAAGTAACACTTACTTTTATGTGATTAAAATATATTCATCATTTGAATCACATGTTAGGTCAACAAAGTGATTAGTTATCGTAATTTTTAATACTTTTTCACCTTGAAGAAGCTTAAGGAAAATTCCCCAAATATTAATAAAACCGTGAGAAAATGTCAAAATAAGACTTTCATGTTTTATTCCCAAAATATGAGCAACTAATGCCATGTTTAGAAAATCCTGTCGGGCATGTTTAAAATTTCATACTCCAAAGACATGGTAGTAATTACTCATACTTCAGAAAATAAAAAAATGGAAGACCTATTTTGGAAAACATGGAAGTCCCAGACTTGAACAAACCATAAGAAATTAGACTTAAACACACCAAACCAAACGAAACCTAATTACACTTAAACATATTGGACCACATCAGACTTTAACAGTTATAACAAAATCAGATTTAAACATATCACAAAATTTCAGTCAAATTAAAAACATTTACAATTTTAAAAATTAAAATTACATTGCAAAAATTTTCAGGCCTACAATTTAAAAATAGATTTATCGGTCTACCATTTCTTTCAAGAATTTTTGTTACTTGCACAAAAATAAATAACATTTACAATTTAAAATATTATTAAAAATTAAAATGTTCATGATATTTTACTTATAATAACCCATTCGGTAATAGTAAAATTGGCTTAATCGGCTTAAGCAGATGAAGCGGTAAATTGGTTGAACCTGCTAAGGTATACAAAACATACGGTTAAAATAATTTTGAGGCAAAAAATAAAGTAATAATTATATGAAATATAGACAAAATCAATCAAACTTAAACAGATCAGACCGGTCTTAAACAGACAAGACCGGACTTCCATAGTTATAAAATACAAAAAGATCAAACATTTACTATACCACGCCAGTTCAGACCAGACCATACCAGAGTTAAACAACCCAGACCAGACCAAACGAGCAAATTTCGGTTCAAGTAAAAACATCCTAAATTCCAACAATTCAACCATAAAAATAACTCTGACCTTATCAAACTTATCTTGATAATTTATTTACACTTTACCAATTCAATATCGGTGACACTTTTTATAATAACCACACTTTTCCCTCTTAATCGAAGTTAAAGGGATCAAAGTAGTACGTAGTATTATTTTTGTCAAATATATCTCTTAATTATCAAAATTCTTTAATTGTACCATCAATACCTATGTACGTTACTTTTTCACAATCACTCATGGTAATTGCTAAATAATACTAAATAATGATGTTAAATAATGATAAACTATTTATTATGGTGAGGCTGAATTATAGGAACTTTGTCAGGAGAAAGCTTATATGGAATACAGAGTATATGGAATTGGTACAGATTTTGTGAGTGTCAGAGCATCTTCAATGGTACAATGTCCACGGTGCACACGTGGCATGAGAGATGACCACATAAATATTAGTAAATAAATTATTTCTCTCCTTATTTAAATGATTTTATATAGTTTTGGTAAGTTTTTCTCCGCAATGTCAAGGAGACCGTCTAATGTTGACATTGTTGTTGACATTGCAGAGAAAAACTTACCAAAATTGTATAAAATCATTCAAATAAGGAGAGAAATAATTTATTTGCTAATAATTATGTGGCTATCACTCATGCCACATGTACACCGTGAACATTATAGCAACAACCAAAGAATCATGTTCGGTGATTGTTTCCAAAACAATAAAACATCATATTCATCATATCAACGCCACTTTTATGGTCACTCAAATTAATTACGGACTATCAATAATATAATCACAAACTGATTTGCGTATTATTATGATATATGATATATGAAGTGAAATGAAATCAATGAGTAATATACATTAAATAATAATATATATAATATATATTAAATAATAATAATATGGAGTAATTCCGTATTATCTGCCCTTACTAAGTACTATAAAAGGACAACTACTTTTCCTTTCATCTTTACATTTCAGCTCAAATTCAACTTTATTTTCCTATTCTTGATTCTTGATTTGCTGTAGGATGTTTTTAAACTTGCTCAGTATTTGATGTTCTCCAATTTCATACTTCACTCCATGTACAAAGGTACTGTGTTGTTTTATTAATTTCATTTCCCGGATATGTTCAAATGGTAAGGTCATATGAAAACCTCTATCATACTTACAAATACATCGTTCTTCTATTATATAGTAGTAAATAGTTTCAGACAAATGGCTTATTATGCTATTCTTTGTATGCTTTTTTGTTATTGTTATGTATTATATAGTATTGTATATGTTACTTGGATATTACTATCCACATGTAGGATGTTTTTAATCCACCCCCAGGTGTGGAGTTCGGGACTTTCATATTTGCCCCAATCTACATCCTACCGAGGTAATGTTATGTTCAATTTAAATCATACTATTTTTTCCACAGGTAGAATACAAGACATAATGATTCATTTCATCCCATAATTTGTGTTATGATTCGTTTAAGTTCACCCTGGTAAGAACTTTTTTTTTTGCCTGATCTCGAATAATTAGAGTATTGCTACATCCGTCCCTTAAAACTTTATATTCGGCTTTTAAATTCAATGGTGATAAAATCTGGAGAGTAATACTTTCGGGTTATATCTTAAACATGACAGGTCCGTGTTAAATACCCGGCTCGAGCCCAAAACTTGGACTTTAATCCGGGTTCTAAAATTTAAGCCCGACCCGGAACAAAAAACATTATTTATTTAAGAAACTAAAATGCTACTTAGTAGTAGGAATAATTATTTATTTTTGTCAATTTTACTTAGTAACCAAATTTTTGTTCATTTATGTATTATATGTATGCTACTTGCCTAAGTAGGACTTAACTGATGATGTGGCTAAATATTATGCACCAAGTAGGATAGCAGTTTAGTGTACAGATAATTTGTTTGGTGGCGTGGATGCTAAATTTTTCTTAATAAATTGGCTCATTTGTCATGAAATCAACAACGTAAAATGTTGTTGTAAGTATAGTAAATTCAAATGGCAGGGTTAATTATTTGGGACGAGGCTCCAATGACAAATAAGTATTGCTTTGAAGCTCTTGATCGCACTATGAGGGACATCCTTCGATTCACCGTCACATGTGATGCTACTAAACCTTTTGGTGGGAAAACAGTTGTATTTGGCGGTGATTTTAGACAAATATTACCAGTTATTCCGAAAGGCAGTCGACAAGATATTGTACTTGCAGCTTTGAACTCTTCCTACTTGTGGCAATTTTGTAAGGTATTGAAACTTACAAAGAACATGAGGCTTACAGGTGACAAAAATTCTGCTGTTTTGAAGAGTTTTGCAGATTGGATCTTGCAAATTGGAGATGGTGTTCTTGGCGACGATGAAGATGGTGAATCAATGATTGAAATACCTCAAAGTTTTCTTGCTCCTTTCATATCTAATCCTATAGAATCTATTGTGAGGTGTACATACCCCGATTTCTTGGAAAACGGAACAAATCCTTCTTATTTGACTTCTAGAGCCATTCTTGCACCAACAATAGAGGATGTAGATATGATAAATAATTACATGTTGAGTTTAAATACTTCCGAGGAGAAGATCTATCTAAGCAGTGATTCAGCATCCTCTTTTGATTCTGAAAACAATCTTCTTGACGAGATCCATTCACCTGAATTCCTCAATGGAATACGCTGTTCTGGAGTTCCGGCCCATGAAATCAGGTTGAAGGTAGGTGTACCTGTCGTGCTCATGAGAAATATTGATTTCTCTTCGGGGTTATGCAATGGCACTCGACTTATTGTGACCCGACTTGGAGATAATATTATTGAGGCTCAAATATTAACCGGGACAAATGCGGGTAAGAAGGTGTATATTCCAAGGCTGACACTTACACCATCCGATGTTAGATTGCCATTCATGTTTCAACGTAGGCAATTACCATTGGTGGTTAGTTACGCGATGACGATCAACAAGAGTCAAGGTCAGTCGCTTGAAAGAGTAGGCATCTTCTTATGTCGTCCGGTCTTTACTCATGGTCAGCTGTATGTGGCGGTATCTAGGGTTACAAATCCATCAGGATTAAAATTCATGATATGCGATGATAACGGCGAGCCTAGCAATTCTACACTTAATGTAGTGTATAAGGAAGTGTTCAATAATTTGTAAACGCTTTTTCGTATTCCATACAAGTGAATAAAATATTAAAATTCATGTTTTATTATGACGTTTATGATCGATCTTTCTGCATTACATACACTCATAGTAAAACACAAAATATGACTCATATATCATATAAATTTATAATACATGTACTTAAATTAGAAATCAAAATCACTAAAATTTAAATACCCGTGCAACGCACGGGTGGAAAACTAGTATACCCTCATACTATTAGTGTGGGAACATATACACCCTTATATTATTTTTTAGAACAAAAAACTGATAAAATTGGAATTGGGGTACAAATATACCCTCACTAATGTTTTAAGACTTTGTCGTTGAGCTAACGTTAAGTAGTCTTTAATCGGTTGTCTGGGCTTATCCCTTATGATCTTAGCTCCTCTGTTATTTCAAAAAGAAAACCTTCACCTCCTATGTCTGCATTGCAGAGGCAAACCGGTCCAGAGGAAGATGAAATAATAGGAGCTTACCTGATTCTTGAGCAAAAAGGTAGAGATATGTAGCACAAGTTTACCTGATTTTTATATGTTAAAAAAAACAAACTTCCATTTTTGTTTTAAAAACAAATTTGATTGACAAAATAGGTCTGTGTATTGGCTTACGGCATGTGTCGTTCACGTTCACTATATGTCTATATCAACTCTATTTTCCTGGAATAGGTTTCTTTTTAATCTGTTTCAGGCATTTTTTATTCAATTCTTTTTATTACAAAAGTGCTACATGATAATTAAATGAAATGAGCTGAGTTTTGATATCACTGATTATAAAGCACTAGATTCTCGAAGGTACACATAAGAAAAAACTTTGTGTATATACAGTGACCTTCCTTTTTCTATGGAGGAGTTATATACTTATATTTCATGTTGATTTGAATCTTGGGAGCTGCTTGTCCTCAAAATCATTTTCTGTTTCAGATTTGGTGGAAAGGATCGAGGAAAATAAATAAGACATTACAAAAAAGAAATTATAAGAGGGAGAAGAATCAGGGAATTGTGGTAATGTGCTTTGATATACGAAAGTGAAGGTTGAGAAAGAATGAGTTTACTTCACAGAGAATGATGTTAGAAGGGTAAGATATGACGGAGAATTTTAAAAAACGACGGGAAGTGTTGATTTGTACCCTAATTTCATTTTTATCAATTTTTTGTTCTAAAAAATAATACAACTGTATATATGTTCCTACCGTAATAGCATAAGGATATATATGCCCCTTTTCCCAAATCTAATTCCTAGTTTGCTGAAAAGGGCTGGGTTCTACACGAGTACACACGATCTTCTGAAAAAATAACTCACGCTTGCAGAGATCAGAAAAGCCGTCACTGGACTTTCAAGCAAACAAGCAGGCACCTAGAAGTGTTTATTTTCTTTCGATCAAAGGTCAAACATGTCAGCTAAATGGAGAGCATTGCAGCACCGCCATCGTTATACGTACAGTGTTGTCGTTTTCCCACAAACTTTCATTGAGGCATTAGATCAAACACCATCATGTCGCTTCTTCTCCGAACTAAAACAGATGGTATCCTTAACTTCAACATACTCCCAACTCATTCATGCTAAGAATGTCGCTGCAGCGTTCTCCGACTTGCTATGTAATACAAGTTCTGATGAGGGTTTAATGTCTAAGGCTTCGAGGTTCTATTTGGAGATTCTTTTCTTGGAGAATTCTGTACCTCTGCATAGAACTTTGATTTCGGTTCTTTCGAAATGCAAAAACTTTCAAGCTCTGGTCCAGAACAGTTTTCGAGAATTGTGCGATGAGTATGGAGGTGAGAATGGGAAAGGGAAGAGGTTTTGTGTCTCACGAGCTGCGTTGTCCATGATGAGCACTCCAAAGCTGGGGTACTTGGTCGAAATTGTAGAAGAATGTGCGGTTTTGGTCGCATTGGATGTAGTGTCCGGGTTGAGTAGTATAGTGTCTCAAACCAGTGAGGGGTCCAGGCCTTCACCCCTTGTTATGGAACAGTGTCAGGAGGCTCTCTCGTGTCTGTACTACTTGCTTCAGCGGTTTCCTGCAAAGTTCATTGATGGAGATGTTGGGGAAGACCTCCTAGTTTGCAAAAGATATAGTCTTCTGGAGACTATCATGGCTACTGTTACCAGATTCTTGACATCAGAAGAATTTTCCAGGGATTGTCTTGTGGCAGCTGGGGTCTGCTTTTGTGCTGCTCTGCAGGTGTGCCTTTGCCCTGAAGAGCTTGGTTCATTTATAATGGAAGGAGTTTTTAATCAGAAAGACGTTTCATGCTTAAAGTTTGAAAAGGATATTACGAGAAAGATACCATGGAAAGCAACAATGTTCACTGGAATCCAAAAATTATCTCCTCTGAGTAGACTTTGTTTGATCAGAGGGATCTTAACAGCAGTTTCAAGAACTGTCCTGAATATCCTTTTTGTTGTATCAAATGGTGGTTTTGATGATAACTGTAGTCTGGGAGGTAATTACAGCTCTGTTAAGACAATTCTTTACGATGAAATTCTGCCTGAGCTATGTACTTTATGTGAGAATCGAACTGATAGCCATTTTAATTTCCATGCATTAACGGTGATGCAGATATGTTTGCAGCAGATAAAAACATCATTGCAAGGAACAAATGGTTATACTGAAGAAGGCTATGATCCAATCTCAGAGGAGATTGGAACAAGGATATTGAAAATTGTGTGGAATAATTTGGAAGACCCTTTAAGTCAAACAGTCAAACAAGTTCACCTTATATTTGATCTTTTCTTAGATGTTCAGGTAACCCTTCACTGGGCAGGGGGCAGTCAGGAATTTTACTCGTTCTTGAGGAAAACTTCCTCTGATCTTCTTCACTTAGGGCCACGCTGCAAGGGAAGATATGTTCCGTTAGCCTCCCTTACTAAGAGGTTGGGGGCAAAGAGCATGTTAGATATGAGCCCTGACTTGTTATTTGATACGACAAAGGCATATCAGGATGACGATGTGTGCTGTGCTGCAACAACATTCCTGAAGTGTTTCCTAGAGTGCTTGCGTGATGAGTATTGGAGTAGTGATGGTGTTGCAGGCGGGTTTATGAAATACAGACATCACTGCTTGCTCCCGCTTTTCTCTGGACTTTCTTCTGGATTGGCTAAGCTGCGCTCTAATTTGAACACATATGCTTTACCAGTTTTACTTGAACTGGATGTTGATAGTATATTTCCAATGCTCGGTTTTATTGGCATCGAATGCAGCGGAGAGAGCACTGATGTTTTTTGTCCTGTACTAGATTCTAGGGATATTGCTCTGGGAGTTGAACAGAGGGTCGCTGTTTTGGTTTCCCTGCTCAAGGTTTGTCGTATGCTTGCATTAATTGAAGGAGACATTGATTGGCCTGAGTACTCTTCTATGGTATTGGAAGTGAAGGAGCTGAGTACTCACTCTCGTGTTGGTGATGTAAACTCTGTTGTCCGCCTGAAGGGGATTGAGGTTAAGATTCCAGTAAATTATCTGGTATTAGCCCTTACACACATTGATGATTCACTCCGAATAGATGCAGCAGAATCTTTATTCATGAATCCAAAAACTGCCAGTTTACCATCTTCTTTAGAACTGAGTCTGATGAGGAAAGCAGTGCCATTGAACATGAGATGCTGCTCTACTTCCTTTCAGATGAAGTGGGCTAGCTTGTTCAGGAAATTCTTTTCACGTGTTCGGATTGCCTTGGAAAGGACAATTAAACAGGGCACCTGGCAACCTACAGTGAGTAATTGTGTTATTGTTGGTCAATTTAATGGAGAACCAGAGCAAGCTATAAAACACAGGGCAGAAGACCTTTTTAATTTTATGAGGTGGTTGGGTTGCTTTTTGTTCTTCTCATGTTACCCATCTGCTCCTTATGAGAGAAAGATAATGGCAATGGAACTACTGTTGATAATGTTGAATGTTTGGTGTATTGTTCCTCCTGCTCAAGGAAATTCTGATTCTCAGTCTTCTGAAATCAATCTATATCCTTACAGTAAGGGGTTAATCTTACCTGAATCAACTTTGCTTTTAGTTGGATCAATAGTTGATAGTTGGGACCGTCTTAGAGAAAGTTCTTTTAGAATACTGTTGCATTTTCCCACTCCAATTCCAGGAATCAGTACTCCAGAAATGGTATGTGAAGCAATGTTATGGGCTAAGAAGCTAGTATGTAGTCCACGTGTCAGAGAAAGTGATGCAGGTGCTCTGACTTTTCAGCTCATATTTAGAAAATATGTTCTTCAACTTGGTTGGGATGTTAGAGTATCATCACTATCATGCAATGCTGTTTCTCAGTCTTCGGCTAGGCTGTCAAATGGGAAGAATGGGGAATTTACATCTTGCAGCCCTGTAATTGAATTTATAAGATCACTTATTGTTTGGCTGTGTGCTGCTGTTGAAGAAGGGGAGAAGGATCTGACGGAAGCATGTAAGAACAGCTTCGTTCATGGTGTGCTGCTTACTCTTCGGTATGCATTTCAGGAATTGGACTGGGATTCCGGAGCTGTTATATCTAATATATGCTACATGAAACTTCTACTGGAGGAAATATTGGCTCTCGTTGTGCGAATAACGTCTTTGGCCCTGTGGGTGGTTTCAGCCGATGCATTGTACTTACCAGATGAAATGGAGGAGATGTCAGCTGATGGTGCTCATTTCTTAGAGAGAATGACTGAGACAGATGTTTCTACCTCTACACCAGCTGATGAGATGAGATCTGCTAAAACTGAGCAGGATGATGATGCGCCTATAGACCAGGTAGTTATGGTTGGTTGCTGGCTTGCAATGAAAGAGGTATATTTTATTTTCCCTTCTCTATACATAGTGTATATACCAAAGCATCTTATTTGATGTATAATGACCTTAAACGGAAGGGAAATTGCCCTAAATAGGACTAAGAATGCTTTTGTATTCCAAAATAGGACTATTATGTTTTATTTCCCTAAGTAGGAGTAATTACTGCCACGTTTTGGCAGTATGCCACTATCAGACTTTAAACTTGGTAGTATTTTCCAAATTTGGCAGCAATTACTTATATTTAGGGAATAAAAACATGACAGACCTACTTTGGAATTTTCAAACGTTTTTACTCCTATTTCGGGAATTTACCCTAAACGAAATTGTGGGTCCATTGTTATTATAAAAGCGCAATTTGGTCATTCTTTTGTTTTCACTTCATGCATTTCCAGGTTAGTCTTCTTTTGGGAACGATAATAAGAAAGGTTCCTTTGCCCACCTCTGATGTACCGAACTGTAGTCTCCCAAATGCTGATGTTACTGATCATCTATTATCTGACACAGTTCTTGATCTGAAGCAACTTGAGATAATAGGTAACCACTTCTTAGAAGTCCTTTTGAAAATGAAGCATAATGGTGCTATTGATAAGACGAGGGCTGGGTTTACTGCCCTTTGCAACCGTTTGCTTTGTTCAGATGACCCGAGGTATGTTTTGTCCGACTAATGACGGTAACTTGCATACACTGGCAACATAAGTGCAAATATCTATTGCTATCATAGCCAAACAACATTGAAAAATGAAAACAAATAAGTAGGAATTTTATCCCTGCATTATTCCAGTATTTTATGTCTTAAATCTGACTTGCTCTAGTCTCTTATGACCCATCAAGATGGAGCCTTGGATCTCAAATGGAAGAGATTGGAAGTGGATATCCATTTTATCTGCGACCCTAATATTTGCTATCTGATTCCATCTTTTTGGCTATGTATGGGTGCCGTTAAGGACCTAAGGTCACTAGTTTTTGGCCCAATCTAATAAAATCTACTATTTTGTATTAGGTAACAATTTGTTTCTGTATAAATTAGTGACAACCCAATTGATTCAAATCCCCCAATAATTGACACTTAATAAATGGTATATATCTTCTGCAGTTCTGCCTCGCAGACTCGCCATCTTAACAGTCTGTTCTTTTTCTTCTTTCCAATTGGTAGAGTTGCCAGTCTTATTTTCATCTTTTCATCTTGTGTAGCATTCTTGAAAATATAAACGTTTGAATGCATAGATTACATAGGCATATATCAAGGTAATAGAGGGAGAGAAATCTAAAGCTGGAAAGAAATCTAAGCTAATTAGATCCTGTATATTAACTGCTGATATAAGTAAAGAAGTTGGTCTAATATCTTCTGTAAAATAGCAAACATTTTCATTTACAATTAATTTTTTTAGCATATTTGATTCGAGAATATGTTCCTTCAGATGCTGGAGCTTCATTTTTATCTTAAACTAGAAAATCAACACTCGATGCAAGAAATCACTGAATAGGCGTGACTTTCTTATATGATCACTTTGAATAGGATCTGCTTTTTGCTCGCAATATGTTCCTTCAGATTATATGTTGTCATTCTAATCGAAGCTGCGAGGAATTACTGAGTTTCTTAACACAATTGTTATAGGCTATATAAATTGACTGAATCTTGGACGGAGCAGCTCATGGAGAGAACTATTGCGAAAGGACAAAATGTGGATGACCTTGTTAGGAGAAGTGCTGGTATTCCTGCTGCATTTACTGCTTTTTTCCTTTCAGAGCCCGAGGGTGCACCAAAAAAGATTTTGCCCAAAGCACTGAGATGGCTAATAAATGTGGCTAAGAAGTCTTTAACAGATGTAAACAATGAATATAGTTCTGATTCTGAGTCTTGTTTGGCCATCGATTCAACAATGGTACCTGATGTGACTGTGGTGGATAAGATCTCAAAGACTAGAGATGAGGGTGTTGTTCCTACAGTGCATGCATTCAATGTCCTTAGAGCTGCATTCAATGATGCCAACCTGTCAACAGATACATCTGGGTTTTCAGCAGATGCACTAATTGTCTCAATTCAATCTTTTTCTTCTCCATACTGGGAAGTGCGAAACAGTGCCTGCCTTGCATATACTGCTCTTGTTCGGCGGATGATTGGATTTCTCAATGTGCAGAAACGCGAGTCTGCAAGGCGTGCCCTTACCGGAGTTGAATTTTTTCATCGGTACTATCTGAATGTCGTTTTTTGTTTGTTTTTATACTATATCCTGTTTTCAATATTTTGCATTTATGATCTCCTCTGTTTTTTAGTCATTGGGTAGCTAAAATTTAACACCAACAAATTGACACGTTTTCTGTAATTTGCCATGAATTTTTCTCTTTAGCTCTAAACTTTTAGAGTGTATGAACATGGGATAATTAATTGCTGTCCCAATTTTCTAAATTAATTCCAATTTATGTGGTCTGGAACTCTTCTACTTCTTTATATTTCTGCTATCTATGTTTTCTCAAAATTCTTTCCATGCTTTGTCAGTTGTCTGCTGAACCTTATGCTAGCTGTTCATCTTTACATATTTGGGCATATGCATGAACTTAAGATGTTTCTGCACTGACTAAAAATTATATTCTTATATTGCATATTGTATAGATTAAATAGAACTGTTCAGTTCCTTGTGTATTTGCTATCTGAGGCTGGGATAGAAATTATCAAGCTTTTGTCATTTTAGGTATGTCAACATCATAACATGCATAGAAACTATGCTTTTATTCAATCTCTGCAGGCACCCCTCATTGCACAATTTCTTATTAAATGAACTGAAAGTTGCAACTGAAATGCTCCTGGATGGATCTGCTGAGAGTCTATCTTCCAGTTTGGCAAAAGTAGTGCACCCCAGTTTATGCCCTATACTGATTCTTTTATCTCGGCTTAAACCATCTGCCATCACATCTGAATCTCGAGATCCGTTTAACCCTTTCTTATTCATGCCATTCATCAGGAAGTGCTCAGTCCAAAACAATCTTCGGATTCGCATTCTTGCATCTAGAGCTCTGACCGGCATTGTGTCCAATGAAAAACTACCAGTGGTTATCTTTAATATTGCCTCTGAATTGCCTCCCATACACAACCGGAGTTTGACATCTGGATTTTCCAACTCGAATGCCTCTTTTAATTCAATCCACGGAATGCTATTGCAGCTGAGCTCTCTTCTGGATACCAACTGCAGAAACCTGGCTGATTTCTCTAAGAAGGAAGATATTCTTAGTGACTTGATTCATATTCTCGCTAAGAATTCGTGGATTGGAAGTCCCCAAAAGTGTCCTTGCCCAATTCTTAACAGCAGCTTTTTGAAGGTTCTTGATAACATGCTCAGTATTGCTAGAACATGTCAAACGTGCAAATGTTTTAGTGCCATTTGGAATCTACTGTGGGCCTTATCAGCAGAGTGCCTAGATCTAGACGCTTCTAAAGGGCCATCATACTTTGATCCAACAATTACAGAACTTCGCAAACAAGCTGCAAGCTCATATTTCAATTGCGCTCATCAAACATCTAAAGTAGATGAGGATCTTATGCTTGTGATGAGAGGTCCTCCACCTGATTCAGAATTGTTTAAGAACTCTGAAATGCAAATGTCTGTTACTAGATTCCATGAAAGATTGGTTCAGTCCATTTCTGATACATCATATGAAGTTCGAGTTGCAACACTTAAGTGGCTACTTCTTATCCTGAACACACCTGAATCCAGTACTGGAAGCAGAGATAGATCTTACAGTGAGGTGAAAATGCTTTGGTTAACCAATATTGACCTCCAGGCTACTTTAATGAGGCATTTAGCTCTGGAGAAGAATCCTAAGTGCATGAACTACATTTTAAAGATCATCTACACTTTCAACATGCAGGAGTATCATAAGGACAACCAACAACATGAGAAACCACATTTTATTGGGAATATGGACATTGATTCAGTCCTCCAGTTTTGGGACAAAGTGGTTTGCTTGTACAATGTCACAAGACATGCAAAGACTAGAGAGACTCTTGTATGTTGCATGGCCATTTGTATGAAACGGTTAGTTGACCTTTTTACAAGCTCCATTTGTGGCTCGGGTAACAATAAAATAGTGGTATTCGACTCTTGTGATCCATCCAAGTTATCTGTTATTATTCAGTGCATAGACTATTTTGTCAAAGCCATCCAGGAGCATAGTGATGCATCAGAGCCTATAAATATGCGGAAGGCAGCTGCCAAATCAATAGTTGCATCTAGTTTGCTGGAACAAGCTCAGCATCTCACTCCTCCTTTAGTTTCCTACAATCACCAAGAAGTTCCTGAAGGAAACAAAAATAATGATGCTGTTTATGCATTTTATGCTCGTCGGATTCTGGATTTGTGGTTTATTTGCATAAAGCTTCTGGAGGATGAAGATGTTGGACTTAGGAAGCAACTCTCTCTGGAGATCCAGAAGTTTATCACCTCTGGAAATGGTCTTTCAACTGTATTAGTTCCTACCCAAGTAGAGAAAGTGATTGAGATGAGCTTTGAGCATCTTTCATCTACTTTTGGCCACTGGCTTGACTATCTTGACTCTCTTTGCCACTGGGTTCTAACCACTGCAAGCTGTGCATATTCGATGCTATCAACAGCAGATCCTGTGAGACGTGTCTTTGACAAGGAGATTGATAACCATCATGAAGAAAAGCTGCTGATCTCTCAGTTGTGTTGTTCCCACCTGGAGAAGCTTCCAGTTTCAAAATTGACAACAGAATATTATGACAGGCATATGGTCTGTAGTTTCTTGTTGAGCTGGAGGAAGAGATTTTGCCAACAGTTGGTGTCATTTGTTAATGATTATACTGGTATTCACGGTGGTGTTCATTGGATTGGTGGATTAGGCAACCATAAAGATGCTTTTTTACCAGTGTATGGGAATTTACTGGCATTTAATGCTGTGTCAATCTGTATTCTGAATGGTGAGCCAGAAGACAGTATGCTGCCTGAACTCCTTGAACTTGGAGAGGCAATACAACCATTCCTGGGAAACCCCTTAATCTCTAGCCTATTTGTTTCAGTTGTCAAGTCACATGAGAAAATTTCATGTGGAAATGTTCATCGCCTGCTTCCGGAAACAAGCAGAGCCAATTCTGCTGCTTGGGATGCTTTTGATCCTTACTTTTTACTTAGGTGAGGTTCTCCCTTTTTATTCACATTGTGTAGGTTTTTAATACGGACACAATTTGTCACCATTATTTCTCCCCGTCATTAATTGGTTGTAGTCTTCCTGGTTAGGGGAAGTCTCTAGGTAGTGTAACTTTATTGACCTGCACACCGTACATTTTAACTTACCGTGATAATTTGATGTGATTTTACTACACTAGTCTTTCATCCCTGTGTTGCAGGGATAACAAACTAAAAAATTACTTGAACGTTATTTATATAATGTGTTCAAAGTTATTGCACTCAAGAGTCTCTGATTTTTAACTTTGTTCTCGAGTAAAATTGCATGAAGAAGCACATCAAGTCATCATCCATGATCAAAGATTTTCCCTACTTTTATAAATGATCATCTCTTAAGTTAATATCGAAGAGATTTGTCTATGCTAAAAATGTGATTTGAAGCTTCATGTCTGATGTATTAAAACTAAGAATCCGTATGGTTAACCTCTATTTTTTGTATTTATCGATCTTAGAAGCTATTTTTTTTTTACCGAATAGTGTTAAATAAGTTTACTTTTCAATTGAAGCTATCATTGTATCAACCAATATTATTCATTACAAGAATTACTATGTAGTTGTAAAAAAATGGATTAATGTGTCAGAAAGAGAAGAAAATTTAACTGTTACTTTTAAAAAGATTAAAAGTATTTAAACCAAATCACGTACTTTCCATTCACATATATACATGGGAGAATGAGATTAGGGTTACACATGATAAAGTCATAACGACGAGTCTGATATACGTATGGATTGAGTAGAGGAATGTACATCCACATACTACTATCACATAACAAAAATAATCATATTTAATTATTTTTAATTTCAATGTCAACCAATAAACGCTAAAAACAAAGAAATGTTCACAACAAATTAAATTTCTAAAAAATCTCAACTAACATTCTCATAAACCCCCCTATACTTGATGCTTTTCAAGTTAGATTGTACTCTATGACTTACCAAATAAATCACAAAATTTGAATGCTAAAATTTCAAATTGATTACTTGATTCAAGGCTTTTCACCGTTAGCATAAATGAGCAGAGTATTAAATAAGCTCACTAAGCTTGATCAATAGTGAAAGGTGAGGAAGCAATATTTTCAATATTAGAATATATACATCAGACAGATATTTAACTATTTAGAGAATCGAAGATAAAAAAGAAAATGAGGATTGAAAAGATTTTTTAATTTAAATTTTATAAAATGATCTTAGATATATGTAAGAAGTATGCTTCTATGTTTTTAAGTACTAGTAAAACTTTCTAGATTGAATGTTGTAAGTGTTGTTCTAAATGAATCTTGACTATATAAAAATAGAGAACCTTTCATATCTACCTATTATTATAGCATGAATCTAATTATAGATGAACTATAATTCAACAATTACTTATGAAATAATTAAGTATATATGACTAAAATAAAGACTTAACAAAAATGTGACTAGTGATTAGAGTAATTAATACTTATGTTTTTTAAGTAAAACTTTCTAGATTGAATGTTGTAAGCATTGTTCTAAATGAATCTTGACTATATAAAAACAGAGAACCTTTCATTATATCTATTATTGCATGAATCTAATTATAGATGAACTGTAATTCAGCTATTATTTATGAAATAATTACATATTTATGACTAAAATAAAGACTGCTTACAAAAATGTTACCAGTGACTAGAGTAGTAATGGAATCATAGCAACTTAAATTCAATTTTTAAAATTAAGTTACCATGATACTTAATTGTAGTAAGTTAGTAACCATTAGTCATATTTCTGTAAATATGTTTTACTTAAGTAATAGTTTTGAAGAACAAAACACTTACTTATACACTTGTTGTGATTTCTGACTACAATTTTGAGAATATGGCTTAACTCTCAATTTTAACCAAACAAAGTTTATTTTACACTAAATGCTAAGAACCATATACCCTATTTCTTCCTCCTAAGCCAAGAAATTGCATCATGTTAGGTCCAAGAAATTAGGACATTTGTAACTTGTGCTGCTCTTCAATAACTCATGATGTTCTTCAATAACTGCAACACACATATAAACTATCCCAATAATTATGACACATATAACAAGCTCGGCAACACTCTAAATAATGTTAACATGCCCCTTCACCTTTTATAGTGTTAAAAAGTTTACTACTTTTCTGACATTGACTATGCACCAAACAATAGATTATACTCCCTCCGCCCGCTGGGATGTTCCCGATTTGACCTACACACATACAGGGCCGGCTATGGGGGGAGGTAGTCTAGACATTTGTCTAGGGCCTCCAAATTTGATAGGGCCTCCATTTTAAAAAATAATAATATTATATATACCTTAAATATTTAATTAAATTAATTAAAATACTTAAAAATTAGTGTAGAACAAAAGATACGTTGATGCAAAAAATCAAATTATCAAGATTAACCATGTTCGGTGATATATTAGAAAATAATGACAAATATAGATCTAAATAAGAGTGAATAAAATATGTCTTTTTATACTTTAGTGACTATAACTTTAATAATCATGATTGTGTTAACTACTACCTCCGTCCCAAAAAACTTTGTCATTTCCAAACATTTACACCTTAATTTTGATTAGTATAATATTATGTAAGTTATAAATTTTATACTTTTATCAAAGTACTTTTAACAAAGAACATTTTCATATAATTTTTATATTATAAATCATTTTCAATAAAAAGATATTTCCGGTCAAAGTTTTGAAAATGACAAAGTTTTTTGGGACGGAGGTAGTATAATGCATATGCATAGACAATAATTCAATATCCTAATTCAAGTATATTTAGAGAGATAGTTTTGATGTGTACGTATATAATATAATGAGTTATAAATGTATTATTTTTTATATTTTATTATCAAATTGTCACTTAAGAGGGTTAATTGTTTTCTAAAATAGAAAGTGAAAACATTTAGTTGAAATGTCTAAATTAGGACGTCCTTTAAATTTTTAGGCCCCAATCCTCCCCAAATTTGTAAAATAGTTATACATAGTATATTTTTATATGTTAGAAGATTGTGTAAAAGATCATCAGAAAAAAATTAACCAAGCCACGTTAATATTTCTTTCTGGCTATGTCATTCCTATTTGTTTCTTATTATAGTTTTGTATTTTTTTACTAAAAAATATATTGAAGTTATACTCTCTCTATCCCGCTAAAATTGTCTCATCTTTCGTTTTCAGCCTATGCATTAAGAATGTCACATGTCAAATTTGACAAAATTTGTTTGGTTCTAAATCATACTTACTTTATCACTTCAATATCAACCACATAAACTAGCTTTTCTTAATAATTGTAAAACTTTATCATAACCTAGCGTTAGTGAGACGTGAGTACGTTGTATCTCATAATTAAATACGAAATATTATTTGGTTGTCTAGGGCCTCAAAATTGCTCTAGACGGCCCTGCACACATATTAAGGAAATCAACTTATCAGGGGGTAAATTTTACTGTTTTGACACTGTTTGGACACTGTTTGACACTGTTTTGAACTGTTTGACACTGTTTTGATGGAGGATAACTTTCCATTTAGGGAAATGAGAACTTCTTTTTGGGACATCCAAAAAAGGAAAGCGGGAACATCCCAACGAGAAGGAGGGAGTATATGTCAATATATAAATTTTACAATGTATAACAATAATGTAAAAGGAATAGGGAACTGAATTGGTTAGAACTCTTCAAAATCACTTTTTATTAAATAACTTCAAAAATACCATGAGATATACCGAATATAATTTAATTTTGATTAATATGGAAAGTGTAGAAATGGATAGATGGCACCCTTGGGTTGGGGATTTGTCAGCCATATTCATCCCTTCTTGGAGGGAAATAACGACCAAGAAAGGACAACTGTGAGGCCAAAGAGAATGTATGGATGCGGCCATGCGGGACCCAAGAAAATGAAAACCCTTTTTTCTTTAAAATGATGTAACATTTTTATTTCAACTCCAATTTTTACAAAAATATGTCACAATTTATAAATTTTTAAAATCTTTCATATTATATCAATATTGCATATTTAAAACTTAAATAAAAAATATAAAGTTTCAACTACTCAAAATTTTCAGAGTATCGTGTTATGGCTTCCACTACTTGTGAGATAGTATGGTAACGATGGTTGTTAGCTGATATGGGCGTATCTTGCAATGATCCTACACCAATGTATTGTGATAATAAAAGTGCTATTCACATTGCGCATAACACTGTCTTTCATGAACGGACCAAATACATTGAGATTGATTGTCATATTACACGTTATCATCTCGATAAAGGGACTCTCACTTTGACTTTTGTCTCATCTTCGATACAACTTGCAAATTTCTTTACAAAGACACATACTCTCCAGCGTCACCGATTCTTAGCAAACTCTCAATGTTACTCACGTCACCATCACGAGTTTGAGAGGGGGTGTTAGCATTTGATATATTAGCTTTTTGTATTGTTGTTTCCTTTCCTTTTGTTAATAGAATTATAATAGGACTACTCTTGTACTTTACATTAAATTCCTACTAGTATAAATATATCTGCCAGGGCTCTATTAAGAGCATCCTGTTCCATTATTCTCACATGGTATCAAGAGCACAGATAAAAACCTAGTTTTTTGTTTTTTCTTTCTTCGGCGCCGCCTGGCTTGTTCTCTACAGCCGCCGCATTCTATTTTCGGACCACCACAACTTCTCGGCAACAATGACTACTCCGGCTTCCTCAGGCTCCGCAGCGCCAAGCTCGACGACGATGTCCTCTCCCGTCACATCGTCCGTCGAAGACGGCAGCATGGCATCCACCGGCGCTCCATTCTCCTTCGGAACGCGGCCGGCAATCACCTCTGTCTCTTCCGGCGTGACCTTCTCTTCTAATTTTGCGTCACCAAGCCGGTCTACGATGCCATACTCCTTGTTTCAGAATATCCCACCGGTTTTCCCCTGGTCGGCCCCTACCTGGGTTCCACCTGTTTCGCTCGAGCCGCCACCATTCTCGGCATCTACCTATGCGGGCACCACTTTCGTTGGCTCCCCTGGAATCTCCTCCACGATATCTCCTCTTCGACCAACCAGCGGCAACATCACTTCTCCCTTCGCTGAACTAGCCCAAATGATTTCTCATGTGGCAACTAATGTCACCAATATTGTGACTACCAAACTTTTGGCGGTGGAGGACTATACTACTTGGCGTACCCAGTTCGAATCCTTTTTGGTCTCACAAGGCCTTCTTGGCATGGTTGATGGCTCCAT